GGACGGTTTTCATAAAACGTACCATCCCTAATAAACACCTAATTTTATTTCAGTATTAAATTCTGTTAAAATTAAGAGATTATAATTAGAAATGTCTCCAGACCTTTACTGGTTAGTGATTTTCTTTTTTCGGAACCCGCTGATAAAAATCATAGATACTGTAAATAACTATTTTAACAAAAACCTATTAAATGATCAATTTATGTAGATATTAGTACATAAAAGTATCAATTTAATGTAGAATGATATTGATAATGATGATGGAAAAGATGTTTGCTCCAGAACTCAAACCTCAAAGAATTGTATCCAATATAGCTTTTATCTAGACGGATGCTGAAATATATGCATCTATTTGTTAGCAAAGGCTGTAGGAAACTATAGTTTGACTTTATTTAGAATTGTGGACGTTATGCTTGTTCTTGTTGGAACAGTTTAGATTGAGGTTCTGGTGCCTATCCACTTTTGGCCACCCCTCAGTATAAATTGGTTGGTGCCTGGACACCCTTATAAAAATTTCCTGGCTACGCCTCTGGTGAGTCTCACTCCCAATGGGTGAGAGTTGACAGCCCTGAAGATTAATCCCCAACAACGACTAATAAACCTCCTGTTTTTCTGTTCACTGCTGCTGAACTGGAGACTAACAGCTTTAACCGACACTGGGGATCAGTTTGCACTTTCATCACAGATGGTGAAGGAGCCACAGCCCCACCTGGATGGAGTAAAGTTACCTCCTCCATCAGGGAGCAAGCCTGACATCAGGCTTTACCAGACAGCCTGAATAGCTTGGGTGGAGTCTCACATTTTTTAAATATGAGTTCACCTGTTCGCTGAAACATTTGCTGTCACAATGGATACAATCACGATCAAACAAATACGTGAAAAGGACTAAAAATAACTCTAAATTGGTTGTGTGCCAGAGGTGCTCACAGGTGTGAAAGGAAATATTGTTAAACACCTGTTGATATTCGGTCCGACCTTTCTTATAGCTTGGTTTTTGAGTGGAAATAATAATTAACCAATGCCAACGTTCAAATGGCACTCAGTCATCAAAGCGGGTTTCTGAAAGGTGACTGACCGCTTACCTGAGCTTTAAGTTGGCCATGAATTCCTCCATTGATACGGTGTCCAAAAGCACAAAGTCTGCCTTCCCAAACTCCAAGCTTTCGTGCTCTGCCATCTTGTTTTGTTTTTAAACACAGGAAAAATAATACAAATATATCTAAATTTGTTTTAAAGTGCCAGAAAAAAAGGTGAACATTGGAGGTGTTCGCTGAGCTCCGCTGCTCATAGAGCGCTTCGCATTTTTGATTTCTTTGGCAAGTCAAGCTGTAGATCCACTCAGGGTTAATTAAGCACGAGCATCTCTTCAAAAGCCTCCCTGTTTGTTTGAAAAACGTTGTTCTCCTTTGGCAGGTCGGTTTATCCGGAGGAAAAAAATCCTCATATCCATAAAAAAAAAAAAAGTTCCCTGCTCTTTCCTGAAGTCGTCCCGTTACAGCGTGCGGGAGCTTCGGCTTCTTTCACCCCGCCTTCGCTTCAAGTAGCGTAGAGGAGGGACGCAGGAGCCAGCGTGCCAGTCGTACGTCGAGGCAGTCGCCATATTGGGAGAGGCACATGGAGCAAAGCTGTGCAGGACATTTTGGCCTGTCTGGGCGGTCTTCTTCTTGTTGGATTTATTGGCGGTTGGCAACAAACATTTAGTAGCATTACCGCCTCTTACTGGTATGGAGTGTGGCCCGTGATAGAGTATCTACTAATAAACAGATATATAATTTCTAAGGAAAAAAAACCAACAAAATAAAAAAACTACATACTTATACATAACTTTGTATTCTACCTGTCTATATCATACACACGTTTCCCCCGCCCTATAATCAAATTCTATGAAATAATTTAGTGCTCTTTAAAAATCGAATAATAATTTGTATATGTTTACTTCCCAAATTCTTCCTCAGAATGTCTAATAAAAGAATCTTTTCATTAATACATTCAAACTCTCTCCTCATATATCTTCTCTTTCTTTTGTATTTATGAAATTCCAGTATAACTAAAGTTTCAAATTTCCACAGTAATCACATTTTCCGGTAGTATGCTTGAGATGATTAGTACAGAATTCATGCTCTTTCAGAGCTAGATTTTGCGTTATATGCCCTAAAAAGAAAATGACGTGTCTCTACGAGTCATCTCAGAGTCTTTAGTGAAATCAGAGATACTGTAAATAAGTATTTTAATAAAAACCTATTAAATTATGAATTTATGTAGATATTAGTACATATAAATATCATTTTAATGTAGAATGATAGCGATAAAAGTAGGTAAGTAATGACGATGGAAAAGATGTTCGCTCCAGAACTCAAACCTCAAAAAATTTTTATCCAATATAGCTTTTATCTAGACGGATGTTTAAATATATGCATCTATTTGTTAGCAAAGGCTGTAGGAAACTATAGTTTGTCTTTATTTAGAAATGTGGATGGTGTGATTGTTCCTGTTGGATCAGTTTAGATTGACCCTGGGGTTCTGGTGCCTATCCACTTTTGGCCACCCTTCAGTATACATTGGTTAGTGCCTGGACACCCTTATAAAAAATTTCTGGCTACGCCTCTGGGGATTTGCACTCCCCTGTTTCAACTTCATGGAGACTCTTTAAAAAAATGTGACCTCAACATATAAAATACAGACTTTTTCACATTTCTTTAAATAAAATTAATCTGAAAAAAAGTGTTTTTTTAAGTCAAACTAAGAAATCTCATAATTCAGAGGTCTCAGTGAGGGGAACTGTGCGGAGAGAAATGTACTGTTAAACTGCAAAGTTATTAATAGTTTAGAGAAAAGTTGAAAATATGATCTGTTACCGTAAAAAAAGAAAGAAAACGCATCGGAAATGTATCAAAGGGTTATGAATAAAAAAATGTTAGTGCCTGGTGTTTAAAGTCAAAGCAACCAGGCTCACAGCGATTTTATGGCGCCATCTAGTGTTTATTAAGTGGAAGTTCATCAATATACACTGCAAGCTGC